TGGAGCTAACATCTGTGCCTGGCCAATGTGGCTCAGTGGTTGAGTGTCAGCCCATAAGCCAAGAGGTCACCGGTTTGATTCCCTGTCAGTGCATGCCTGGGTTGTGGGTTCGATCCCCTGTAGAGGCGTGCAGGAGGCAGCCAATTGATGTTTCTATCTATTCCTCTCCCTTCCTCTCTAAAATAAAGAAAAACATTAAAAAGACTAACATTTATGAATTTATGAGCCATTGTTGGTTAAATATACTGCTCTTGTGTCAAGTAGGGGTTTTAGGAAGGTGTGTGTGTGTGTGAATTTTCATGGAAAGCACAACCTGGTATTTTGGTGTTGCCAAGAGAAGCCCTACTGAGAGGCATAGCTTTAGTGAATTCACTAGAGTCCAGTGTCTGATCTTCAGCCTCAGTGTCAGAGATAATCTCTTTTCTAAAATTGGGGGGAAGCCTAATTCCCTTTGTATATGTGTTAATTATTTTCAGTCAAGAATAAGAGCCAGGGGGTTAGATTCACCTTAAGATAAGTTAGTGATCTCTGCCCTGACCCACTGTGTGCTAATTTTATTTTTACATGCCCTGACTCTCTGAGATCAGTCCCATTTTGTCTACCCATAAGAGTTGATTGAGGTGGAGGCAAATTTCCCCCACAGCTTAGGTTTTTGTTGTTGTTTTTTTTTTTTAATCACTTCTTTAGCTTTTATTGGTGGGAAAATGAGGAGGCTCAAACTGAAGTGCATGTGGAGATCTTGACTTACATGACCTTAAATCATATATATTTTGGATAAAGGGAAAAAACATAGAAATTATCTTCTAATTAAACCTACTAATTAAATCTGAACCTCAGTAACTGCAGGAAATGGGATTGTATTAGCCTTATTTCTCAGGTTGACTCAACATTAATGCCTGATTATGGCTGGACCCTCTTGGTACATTTATATTCTTAAAAGGGCACTTTCCTTTTTACTGATGGTGGATGTCGGGGACTACCTCGTCATCACACTGTTGTCTTATATTACAGTTTTAGTAATTGGATCCATGTTCTATATCCCTGTTTATATATTTCTGACGTTTTTCCTTTCCCACTGGCCTCACAGGGTTTATTGACAGGCCAGCAGAGGACATTTGGCTCAGGTGGACTAGAAAGACCTGAACAAGAAAGTGGCCCCATCCTCATTTCTTGGAACAGCCTGTGGTCACCAGCACAATAGGGGGCAGTCACACCAGAGGGCGAGACCGCAGGCCAACAATAACAAGGGCCACTTACAGCCCACAGCCTCAACTTATAGCCCACAGCCTCAGTGGCCAGCACTAATCGGTCTGAAGGACAACGAACTCCATCTAATCAGACTAGAACACTTACATCCCTCAGCCTCTGCCCCTTGTGGTTTTTGTGTATAAAATTCAACCCTAAGGACAGCGGAGGCTGAGTCCTAACCTTCCCTAGTTGTGGCTCCATCCCCCCATTCCCTCTAATAAACTCCCCTCTTGCTCACTGTGTCCACCTATTTCATTGAACTACTCCAATCTTACATTTATTTAGGGTTATAGATTAGGTTTCCTCTTTGCCCTCACTCAATCCCTCCAGGACTGGAGCTGGTAAAACTCAGTCCCATAGTTCAATACTGGATGCCTGATGCTAGACGCCCTGTGCTATCTCTCTTGACTAGACCATTGCTTAGAGCTGATGGCTAGACCATCTTGGTGCATTTGCATTCCTTACTGGGAGAGGCATACATTTATTCTCTATGCAGAATTAACAACAATAACAATTACCATGGCACTCTTGGTGACATTTGGGAATTTCATGGATAAAAACAAAATCTGATAAGCTTCTAAATGAAAATTAGAGGTAATTTTAAAATGAAGTAAATCAGATTGTTATAAGATATCCAATCTACAGTAGTTAATACATATTCTCAGATTTTAGAATTTTACCCTTACAAATATCCTTCATATGTGAGGAAGAAATGCACTTTGATATGCAAGGGCTTGGAAATCATGAGGTGAAAGGAGGTGTTCCATATTCCTATGGTTCCTTCTTAGCCTTTTAGTGAGTCTATGCTCTTGATGATGAACTTTCCATGAGTTCCTCAACTTTTCTCCCTCCTTAGGTGGGAGAGACTGGCTAGAATGGGCCGGAATTGGTTATTTTCCTTTCCCTGGGACATTTAGGCTCTGATAATAACCAGGCGGGCTGGGTTCTGTTTAACCACATTGTTCTGAGGGCAAAGCCTTTGTAAGAATAACAGAGTGTTAGTGTATTCCAAAATGGTTCCTTCCCACTTCCACCTGCCAGAAGCACAGGGCATTTTTCTCTGCTATTTACTGTGCCAACCTGGTTGAGTTCCTGGTGGTAAATCTCACAATATTTTGGGAGTCCCTAGGCAGATGGTGTTATTGGCAGGACCAAGGCCAAAAGGGTCTGTACCTGAATGCACAAGGGATGGGGCAATTTTGGGGTCTGAAGCTGAGACTACAATTGGTACCTGAACATGGGCCTGCCTTCTCTAAATTGTCCTGCTTGATCCTGACCTCCAGCAGGGTTTCACAAGCTCTTACCTGAATCCTAAAACTCCCCAAAAGTCACTTTTGTCTGTGTATGTCTGCCTAATTGTTGTTGCTATGGGGAGTTATGAGTGGGAGACCTCCTAGTCTGCCATCCTGTTCTCAAATATTTTTTAAACAAATTTGAAAAAATAAAAATTGTTTACCCACATATTTAACATTTTCAGTGCTTTGTATTCCTTTGTATGGATCCATATTTTCATCTGGCATGATTTTCCTCTTGTCTACAGAATACTTTCAATATTTTTTTATAGTGCTAGTCTGAAGGAGATGAATTGCCTCAGTGTTTCTTTTTCCTGAAAAAGTCTATTTTGTTTTCATTTTTGGAAGATATTTTTCACTGAGTAAAGAATTATAGGTTGAGAGGATTTTATGTTTTTAGTACTTTAAAATGTCACTCTAATGTATCTAGTTTGCATTGATTTGGAGGACAAGTTCACAATCATTTTTATGTTTATTGTGCTATATCTAATGCATCTTTTTTCCGCTGGTGATTTTTAAGGGTTTTACCTTTATCACTGGTTTGCAACATTTTTATTCTGACGTGCTTTGGCCTGTTTTCTACGTCCTCTTGCTTTGGTTTTATTGAGCTTACTAGGTAGGTCTCTGGGATTATACTTTTTATCAAATTTTGAAATATTTCAGCCTTAATTTTTCAAATCCTCTATTATTTTATTCTGGAATGTCAATTTTACATGTGTTAGGCTACTTTTTGTTGTCTCATGGGTCATTGATGATGTGAGATTTTTTCCATTTCTTTTTCTTAATAAATATATTTTTATTAATTTCAGAGAGGAAGTGAGAGGGGCAGATAGAATCAATGATGAAGTGAGAGGGGCAGATAGAAACATCAATGATGAGAGAAAATCATTGATCAGCTGCATCCTGCATGCCCCACTCTGGGGATTGAGCCCACAACTCAGGAATCGAACTATGACCTCCTGGTTCATAGGTCAACACTCAACCATGGAGCCACGCTGGCCAGGCTCTATTTTTTTTCTTGATGTATTTTGTTTTTAAAAGTGTCTATTGTTATATAATCAAATTCATTAATTTTTTCTTCTGCAGTGTTTTCACTGAAATCTCTCTCAGCATTGTGGAAACTCTAAAATCTCCTTCAACTCTGAAACTCCCAAATTGTTTATGCAAGGCCAGGGTAGTGTAAGTGAGCTATAATCTTATCTTTTATCTCTTGGTGTCAGTAGACAGTATTAAAGTTGATAAATCATGAAATAATGATATAATATATCTGCCTGTTTCCCCTGTGCCTAGAAAAATATATGATACATATTAGGTGGTTAATACATTTGGTAAATGCATGGATGAAAATAGGATTGGAGGTATAAAGCGTCAGTTAAAGTAGATGTTTTCTTTCATAAGGTCTTTTTTATTATTTATCTCTTAAAATATAACCAGATTATTATATTATTTTAAAATAATATAGAAAAAATTAAATTGTTTAACTCTCAATTTAATTATAAAAAAAAGATATCTGCATAATTAATATCTGCTAGAAAATTTAATTGGAATATAACACAGAATAAGTCCTGAAAAAAGAGACATTCTCTTGGTTAAGTAATGTGGTTAATTACTTTAGATACTTCAAGTCTTATTGCTGCAGTAGGCATAATCAGCAGGAAGCAAAGTATCTGAATCCCATTTTCTAAATCAGAATTATTCAATGTTGGGTCCATGAAATATTGGTGGTCTTGTGTATGTATTAACAGTTCCACAAGTGGTTTGTTGGTTTTAAAAGAAAAATAAATGAAATAAAATTTAAAAGTAAGATTAATTTCACAGAAATTCTCATTCAAATTTCATTATCAGATTCTTAAAGTTTTCATATGTACTGTAAGATTCCATTGAATCTCATTCAACTTGCATGTCATTAACAAAACAGTTTGCAATCTATAACATACACACAATAAAAGGACAAATGCTAAACATATTAAAACAGTTCAATGACAGATCCAGAGACAGAGGCATCGATTGGACCTGAGGGAAGGTAGGGGAGGGTGGGGGTAAGGGGGAGAAATCAACCAAAGGACTTATATGCAAGCATATAGGCCTAACCAAAGGACATGGTTTTTTTTTGGGGGGTGAGGGCATGAGTGGGGGGGGTAGGGGGTAACGTGGGGATAAGGACACATACGTAATAACTTAATAAAAAAATCTAAAACAATAAAACAGTTCAATGAATTTTTACTAAGTAAACGTACCCATTTATCTGGTGTCCATATTAATATACACATTATCATCAGCATCCCATAAGCCCTTCCAACTCATATTTCTAACAAGGGAATTACTTGCTCATATCTATCAGCATAGATTATTTTTAAGATTTAAGTAAATAGAAATGTCATTTTAATATTATTTTAAATGTTCACCATACATGCCTTCTCCTTGTAAATAATCCATTAAAATATATCCCCAAATCAGCGTGGCGGTGCGGAGGGAGGGGGCGCGGGCCGGGCCGCGGAGGACGCTCGAAGATGGCGGCCTTCTCCGAGATGGGTGTTATGCCTGAAATCGCGCACACTGTGGAAGAGATGGTTTGGCTTCTCCCAACTGATATCCAGGCAGAATCCATCCCACTGATCCTGGGAGGCGGTGATGTGCTTATGGCTGCAGAAACAGGAAGTGGAAAAACTGGTGCTTTCAGCATTCCAGTTATCCAGATAGTTTATGAAACTCTGAAAGACCAACAGGAAGGCAAAAAGGGGAAAACAACAATTAAAACTGGTGCTTCAGTGCTCAACAAATGGCAAATGAACCCATATGACAGAGGATGTGCTTTTGCAATTGGGTCCGATGGTCTTCGCTGTCAAAGCCGAGAAGTGAAGGAGCGGCATGGGTGTAGAGCTACTAAAGGACTCACGAAAGGGAAACACTACTACGAAGTGTCCTGTCATGACCAGGGGCTGTGCAGAGTCAGGTGGTCTTCCATGCAGGCATCTTTAGACTTAGGTACTGACAAGTTTGGATTTGGCTTTGGTGGAACAGGAAAGAAATCCCATAAAAAACAGTTCGATAACTATGGAGAGGAATTCACTATGCATGATACCATTGGGTGTTACCTACATATAGATAAAGGACACGTCAAATTCTCCAAAAATGGAAAAGACCTTGGTTTGGCATTTGAAATACCACCACATATGAAGAACCAAGCCCTCTTTCCTGCCTGTGTTTTGAAGAATGCTGAACTAAAATTCAACTTTGGTGAAGAAGAATTTAAGTTTCCACCAAAAGATGGTTTTGTAGGTCTGTCCAAGGCACCGGACAGCTGAGTTGTCAAATCACAGCACACAGGTAATGCGCAGGTGGCACAGACCAAGTTCCTCCCCAACGCGCCCAAAGCTCTCATCGTTGAACCCTCCCGAAAGTTAGCTGAACAAACTCTGAACATCAAGCAGTTTAAGAAATATGTTGATAATCCTAAATTAAGGGAGCTTCTGATCATTGGAGGTGTTGCAGCCCGGGATCAGCTCTCTGTTTTAGATAATGGGGTGGATATAGTCGTTGGCACTCCGGGGAGACTGGATGACCTGGTGTCCACTGGGAAGCTGAACTTGTCCCAAGTTAGGTTCCTTGTCCTGGACGAAGCCAACGGGCTTCTCTCTCAAGGCTACTCGGATTTTATAAATAGGATGCACAATCAGATCCCTCAGATCACCTCCGATGGAAAAAGGCTGCAGGTGATGCAGATAGGGAAGGTGGCTTAAAATGTCCTTCAAAGCAAAATCAAATTTAATGCCAGGGAGTTTGTTTTAGTGGCACTTTGCCTAATTGTGTTAACCCTGGTTTGTGACATAGATTCCATAGAATTATATGGTACCATTATAGCCTGACTTCCATTGTTTTTTTTTACATAATCTGAGGCTAGTGTTTTCCAAAGTTAACTCTTAATCTGCCTTCCACTAGGGCCTGATAAGAAGGGACACCAGTTCTCCTGTGTTTGTCTGCATGGCGACAGAAAGCCTCATGACAGAAAGCAGAACTTGGAAAGATTTAAGAAAGGAGACGTAAGATTCTTGATTTGCACAGATGTGGCTGCCAGAGGAATTGATATCCATGGTGTTCCTTATGTCATTAATGTCACCCTGCCTGACGAGAAGCAGAACTATGTCCACCGGATCGGCCACGTCGGCAGAGCTGAGAGGATGGGCCTGGCCATTTCCCTGGTGGTAACAGAAAAAGAGAAGGTCTGGTACCATGTGTGTAGCAGCCGTGGAAAGGGGTGTTACAACACCAGGCTCAAGGAGGATGGCGGCTGCACCATATGGTACAATGAGATGCAGTTGCTCTCTGAGGCAGAAGAACACCTGAACTGTACCATTTCTCAGGTTGAAGATATAAAGGGCAGGTCATTTACATTGCTTTGTGCTCTGTGTGTGATGCAGGTGGAAACTATAAAGGCCATGTGGATGTTTTGGCACCTACGGTTCACGAGTTGGCTGCCCTTGAAAAGGAGGCGCAGACGTCTTTTCTGCACCTTGGCTACCTTCCTAACCAGCTGTTCAGAACCTTCTGATTCTAACACCCCGAGTAAGACTTGAGTGATGCGGCTGTCGTCCTAAAACTCTAAAACGGCTGTACTGCTTCCAGGCAGCAGCGTTTATAGTCACTTAAGCTATTAATGCTAACTCTTGCATGTCAAGAAACATGGAACATTAGTCATAGGAATTCTTCATGTAATGGCAACCTAATGAAAGTAATAAATGTGATGACTCTAATTATAATAATTAAAAAATATATATATATCCCCAAATCACACACACACACACACACACACACACACACACACACACACACACACAAAGGATCAATGGCTGTAAAGAGTGAACTACAATGTAAAAGTAGCAATGAAAATGGTAATATAAATAGTACGATTCAGAATAACATTTCAAACATAACTAGAAAATAAGACTCCAGTGAGAATATATATCTGTGAATTCAAGAAAGAAAACATGAATATGCAAACGTGATGGGTTTACTAAAACATCCAAAAGGAAAACTGGAATTAGAAAACAATGAAAAGGAATATCCAAAAAGTTAGATTTTATTCAATTGGTGTGAATTTTCACCTAGTTATAGATGCACTGTTACAAATTTAGCTATCCTGTAGCCTAAAGCTACAGATAATATTTTTTTATTATTTTCAAACAAAATACAGTGACCTCATTGGTAAAGCAATATTTTCCCAACCAGGTTTGACATAAATTTATCTAGAACAGTGGTTCTCAACCTTCCTAATGCCACGACCCTTTAATACAGTTCCTCATGTTGTGGTGACCCCCAATTTCATTGTTACAAATTGAACATAATTAAAGCATAGTGATTAATCACAAAAACAATATGTAATTATATGTGTTTTCCGATGGTCTTAGGCGACCCCTGTGAAAGGGTCGTTCGACCCCCAAAGTGGTTGCAACCCACAGGTTGAGAAGCGCTGATCTAGAAGGATAAAGATAAATGTGTTACTTAAATTAAATCAGACACAAAGAATACATGAGTTTCTTTCAATATCATACTCATCATGAGAAGTAGGCACAATGAGATACAATTAACACTAAAGAAAGTTGTTTAAATCAGCTATAGGTGTCTTTCATGACAGAATAACTGGTATGAGAATTGCCCTCCATCTATAAATTACTAGAAAAGTGGGCAAAGTATATGAAATAATTGTTTTCAAAACTTGAGTAAAAGACAGCACAGGAGTTTGAGCCCTGAGAGAAAGGAAATAGACAAGTTGAGTCCATAAATTTCTATCTGGAGGCAATTTCTAGCCTGTTACACAGAAGTGGAACCCAAGAAATACTTAGAGGCCTTGTTGAATTGAGGTAACAGATATTGTTGCTCAAGGAAACTGAGGCAGCTAGAATTGTGAGAAATACTAGAGAATAAGGAGCTATGCAAGAACGAGACTGCAAAAGTATTTTGATGAATGCTATACTGAGCATGTTTGACATGAAACTTTTTAAGGAGCCAAGCAAAAACAAAAACAAAAACAAAAAAACCTCTAGGGCAGTGGTTCTCAACCTTAGCTGCACATTAGAATCAGCTGGGAATCTTTTTAAAATCCTGATTTCTGGCCCTCATTTTCCAGAAATTCTTTCTTTGTTATGGGGTGGGGCCACAACATTAGTAACAAAGAAACAGATTTTCTGGAGGATGAGGCCCAGAAATCAGGATTTTAAAAAGATTCCCAGGTGATTCCAATGTGCAGCCAAGGTTGAGAACCACTGCTTTAGGGTAATTGTGCTCCCAGAAAAAAAAATCCCACTGGGGAAATAGATATAAGCTGACCATGTTCCAGAGCTTACAAAGCTCCCAAAGACATTTCAATTCCTACTACCTAGAGCAGGGGTCCTCAAACTTTTTAAACAGGGGGCCAGTTCACTGTCCCTCAGACCGTTGGAGGGCTGGACTATAGTTTTAAAAAAACTATGAACAAATTCCTATGCACACTGCACATATCTTATTTTGAAGTAAAAAAACAAAATGGGAACAAATACAATATTTGTATTTGCATGTGGCCCGTGGGCCGTAGTTTGAGGACCCCTGACCTAGAGTGAAGAGACCACCTTGAAAACCCAGAATATCTAGCAGAGATCCAGAAGAGTTAACCTTAGTAAAGTCACTCTAGACCTGTTGCAATTTTTAAGAACAGGGCTTGAAAGGATCATATTTATCTACAAATAGATTTCAACACTTCTTAAAAGAAATAAAACACCTAAACAATTAACAATTAAAAGTTACAATGTATACCATTCAATAAAAATAGTAGACATGGGAAACAACAGGAAAATGTGAATCATAAGTTAGAGAAGAAATAAAATCAATAAAAACTGGCTCAAAATGAACTGAGAAGATGAAATTACCCAGTAAGAACTATAAAATAGCTCATTTAAATATGCTCAAAGACTTAAAGTATGAATCAGCTACCTGCATCTAGAAGAAACGCTAGATCACATTTCCTTTTATTTATTACTGAAATTCAATGCTACAAAAGAAAAATTTAAATTCTCACTTAGTCAATGATAATTTAGTAACCCAATATTAAGACTAGAAAAGATGCACTAGGAGTATTATCCCTGAAGGGGCACCAGCTCTGTGTGTAGCAGGTCACAGTTTGTTATGAAAACAAAGAAGTGTCGTGTGAATGTTATTCTACAAACTGTGGTAATCACAGAACACCATTATGACATCTTGAAGCTAAGCCAGTGAAAATTGTGAAACTGGTCAAATCATGGACTTTGCGTGAATTTTTTTGCATGCCGTGTCAGAAATGGTCAAAAAATAACACTTTTTCCGTGCTCTTGAGGAAAACTATGCATATATGAGGTGTTTTTTTTTTATAAGGGAAAGATGAAATAAGATTTTGCCTTCACACAAGAAGAACAATATATTCAGTATCTTGAACAGCCTAAAGTTATGATTTATTTCATGGACAAGGCATCATTACTAGTACTTGTAATACTATGGAATGTAACCTATCAGAATGTATCAAGTGCAAATGGCTTACAAACGGATTGCCAAGAATTTGGCTTTTTTCCCCAAAATCTAAAGATCTTCTTCAATTCATTGAAGAAAGAAACCGATGACATATCATTAAGCATAGTTAAAACCTACATTTAATGCTTTAATAGAACATGTAGAATATTTTTCAGAGCCAAATGAAACCAGAGACTAGAATTGGGATCTATTCTCTCACAAGTTCAAATATCCAACGTTCCAGCTGCTGAGTGCAATGTGCTTGTCAACTTTGCATCCAATGATGCACTGATAATAGTTTTTATTGAGACATGTCTCCATAATTTCTGGGCCCTCATTTGTCTTAATATCCCAATCAATCTGAAAAAGCCATGAAATACTTGCTGCCAATACCAATAGCCCATAATTGTGAGTTAGGCTTTTCTAATTTAAATAAAGAGTAAAATCAGAAACTGATCATCTAGCTCAGTCTATCCATAAGTCAGATAAAGATTTCTGGTGAGAGAGCCACATTTATAGGCTATAGAATAAAATAGTTTTATTTATTTTATAAATGTAAATATATGTGGTCAGAATTAGTTAAGTGTCATTATACATGGTGTGCATAAAAGGAACAAGAGGGAGGCAAGAATGCTTGTATGAAGACCAAGTTGAAGATTATTTTCAGTAGTGTATGAGAAACATGACAATCATTGGGATAAGAGTGGAGATTTAGTTAAATGAATGGATATAAAATATAGGTGCTAGATCTTTGGGACATGATAAGGATAAAGTGAAAAGAATAATTAAAATAAGGCCTATGATTTTTACTTTTATAGAACATTCTGTCTTTTATTGTGACTGTGAGCACCGAAAACAGAACAAGTTTCAGGCTACAGAAAGAATATTCTATTTTATTATAGTGTCTAAGAACTATGAAAACTCAATAGGAATGTACAATAGGAAGCCTGTAGTATAGGAGAGAGATTTTGATTGGACTTAAAAATGTTAAGTCATCATAATACTTATAAGATTAAAACCATCGGTTTGATGATATCATGCAGGAAGCATGTTAGTGAAGAAAGTAGAGGAAAGATCTATAAGGAATAACATGTAATAAAGTAGGGGAGGGATTTCAGGATAATATGGTGTCAAAGAAGTCAAAAGAAGAGAGTCAAGAAGGAAGGAGTGGAGAATTGACTGACTAGAAGGTGATTGAGAAACAGTGGCTGAGGACTACAAATATCTATTGGATTTAGTGAAATATATTTCATTAGCAACCTTCTGTTGAGCAGTAGCATTGTAGCAATCAGAGTAGAATTCAGACTGGATTTGGTTGAGGAGTGAATGATAGGTGCATTGAAAGAGTGAGTACAGACAAGTTTTTAGAGGGTAAGTTTGAGCATAAGGAGAAAAGAATTAGGGCTGACTGAAGCAGTGATATCAAGAGGGAAATTTAAAAAAATAAAAGCAGATAAAATTAAGAATATGTAATTGTTGATGAGAACAATTTGGTAGGAGAGGAAAAGTTGAAATACAAAAACAATAAAAAGCTAGGAGAGTGTGAAAATGCAAGCACAATTTGAGTGATATAATTTAGATGGGAGGAGGCATGCCTCTTCAATTCTACCTGGAGAGAATAAAGAAAAAGTGATATGGATGTAGGTATGCTTGTAGAAGGTGAATTCATCTGCTCGGATATATATGGGATGGATTTGTGATAATGGATGTTTCAGGAAATTGGGAAGGATTTGAATTCATTGTAAAGAAAGGGGATCGAGGTGATTAGAGAAATCTTAGTAGGATTGCTACCTAGTGTGAGAGCCCTGGTTGAGGCTAGTAACCACTAATTTTAGAATGTTACCATCAGCCACGTTTTGTTTCTTTTTAATGTTTGATGGCAAGGTCAGAAGTAAAATTTAGGTTTATCCAGGATATTGTCAGATTTTATAATGAAAGGGAGATTAGAAGCATAGTTGAAACTATAGACCATATAAACTATATAAGGTAAGGATTATGCTAATAGAAAGAAAGTTGAAGGATTACTAAGAATTTGAAATATAATTTCAAAGAAAAATAGTGAAAAGAATAAACAAATAACTAAGCTAAGATTATGGTAAAAAAAAAACTGTAATGAGTTGAAGATATAATATTTCTGAGTGATGGTTCAAGTGTGTGATTGTACAAGTTGGCTGAAGTACATTTTAGAAGGAATACATTGAATGTCATAAAATTGAGGAACCAAGTTGTAGAACAACTC